AAAATTCGTCCACCTTTTAGCCCGCAATTCTGAATCGATTTTGAAAATTCAAAAACTGTTCGAAAGATATTGGTTGGGAATCGTGCTGATTAGATTTTGGTAAAGATCGGCCGGGCCGTTTTCTTGTAATAAAGTGTTAAATGTTTTTTTTCGACGATTTTTATGATTTCTTTTTTGATGGTAAATAGTCTCATAGATCATACTAAAATATTATGGCCCTACGACAACTCGTTTAACTTCAAAAATTCGTCAAAGTTTACAAAAATTGATATCGTTTTTTTGGCATTTGTCAAAATTATCCCTTTGATCGACGTTTTCTTAACCGATCTCAAAAATTTATAAGTCATTTCATGGATCTCGATGAGGATTATCGTTTCTCAGTTTTGTGCGACAATCGGCCGAGTCGATTCTTTGTAATTTACAGAAAAAAATGTTAAACATTTCGTCCACATTTAGGCTCAAACTACCGAATCGATTTTAAAAAATCAAAACCAGTCCGAAAGAATTAGGTGGGAATGATGCTGATTAATTTTAGGTGAAAATCTACCGAGCCGTTTTCTTGAAATTAACTGTTAAAAAAATTTAAGCAGATTTTTATGGAACTTTTTTAGGCAATATATATCATGGTCTTATAGAACTTACTGAAATATTACGGCCTTACGACAAGTAATACTTGGTCTCATTGAACATATTAAACCATTAAAGTCCTACGGAAACTGCTTCAATTATAAACATTATTGATTTTTGAAAATTTGCTTTTAGAAAATACTCCGAGTTAACGTGTTCGTTCGTTTTCAATTATGTGTAATAAAGCCACTCGGAATACTTTTAATCGCTCATATATTAATTTATTTTTTATTGATTAAGCCGATTATTTACACAGATCGGGAAGTTCATATAACTTGCCTCAAGGCAAAATACCAATACCAACTAGTTTTCACTTTTGAACTTGAGAATAAGATGAACCTAATTCCAAAATTGCATACAAATTAGAGCACAGTACAAAAATTCAGACCCATAACGATCCATTGACATGAGTAAATATTCCGTATCCAATGCAAAACATATAAATTTTTGAAACAATGAAACAATGAAACTTCTTAATAAATTTAAGAATAAGCAAATTTCTTTCTATTGTGATTTAGTAAAGTAACTGCATTAGTTAAAAAATACTAATCCATCAAATTGAATTACAGGCTAAGTTTGCAATCACTGAGATGCATGCGCAGACTGCATCACCTATCAGACGCATGTTGACTATATATCTTATATTATTTTAATTTTTGGCACATCTCAGTCGCTTTTCGGCAATAATAATGTAGACATTACATTTTTACATCTTAGGCTAGATCCTGAAAAAAAATCTATTTAAAAATATAAAAGATACGTATAAAGGTATATAGATGAAAATTCAAGGTTTTTTACTGACTAATTATTGCTTTTTATTATTTTTCTGTTACACAAATATTGATAAAGTGTACAACCAGAGTGTCTTACGAGTCCTTCAATAATTTGCCATTTATATATATATCTCTCATTTAAAAATAAGAGAAGTTACGGTAAAATTTATGATAGAGAAAGTTGTAGCTAATTTAATTACCTTTAAAATAATGTATTAAAAGTTCTGATAAAATCAGAATTATAAGAATTATAATCCAATTCATGTGGTGGGTGGTGACAGAGTGCAAATTGTTTTCACTTCTGAACTTAAAATAAAGATTAGCCGATTTCCGACACACGCTTTTTTCTTCTCCATTTACTGCAATAATTTTGTTGATCGTAGGTTGAATAGAGCACAAGTGAACAGTATTTGATAAATTCATTCACTTCAAATATAAACTTAAGTAATAATGTATAATGAATTATTAGTGAAAAAAATATAATTTAGATCGTAAATTACTAAAAGCAATTATTTTAGGTAGAAAAATCCAAGGTGATATTGTACCTTTACCGCAAACGCTATATATATAATTCTTTCTGAATTGTTATACCCCCATTTAAAAGACTTCAATTTTCAACACGTGTTTCTTATGCTATGACCATAATACACAAAGCAGACGATGATTTTTTGTGTGAATAAACAAAAAATCATTTTTTAATATAAACTTAAGTAATAATGTATAATGAATTATTAGTGAAAAAAATATAATTTAGATCGTAAATTACTAAAAGCAATTATTTTAGGTAGAAAAATCCAAGGTGATATTGTACCTTTACCGCAAACGCTATATATTAATTCTTTCTGAATTTGTTATACCATTTAAAAGACTTCAATTTTCAACACGTGTGTCTTATGCTATGACCATAAAATACAAAGCAGACGATGATTTTTTGTGTGAATAAACAAAAAATCATTTTTTTATACATCCACATCTACAGATAAATTTGCAGTGTATAATATTTAATACACAATTTTAATAAACATATTTTAATATTTGTTAAAAGGATAATTAAAGTGTTAACTGTGGGAATTGATAATAATCATCATTTTATTTGAAGCAGTTCTACATTTAACATCACTCATATATTAGTGTAAATAGTAATTCGAAAAACAATAATTATTATTTTCAACTGAATGGTAAATATTAGTAAAGGATATTGAAAAACGATTGCAATCGTTTCGACAGATGAATTGGTAGACAAGTAAATTGGTGAAAAGGTAATTTGTTGGATAGCTGGTGGTCAGGTAAATTGGAGGATATGTAAAATGGTAGAGACAGGACAATTGGTAGATAGACAAATAACAAGACGGATAAACAGGTTGACAGGTAAATTGGTAGACATGTGAAACAGGTTAATAGGTAAACAGGTAGACAGGTAAATTGGTAAGTCGGTAAAATGGTAGATTGATTAACAAGTTAATAGATAAATTCGTAGACAAATTGTTGAGTAGGTAAATTGTTGAACAGATAGTAGTAACGTTGAACTAATGTAACAAATATACATGTTTGTTCAACTTTTTAATTTAAACTAAATCACGGCAAAGCGTGAACGGGTACAGCTAGTTTTAAATATAAAATTAAGTTTATGTTTTAAAAAATCTTTGTAAATATTTTTTAGATTCCGTTAACAAAGAATTGCTGAATGATGACACACAATCCGTGTCGAAACGTATATTATAAATAAATATTTTGTATTTGTTTCCTTTATTTCGACGACTGGCTGAAAATCATATCAAGATATATATATATATATATATATATATATATATATATATATATATATACGAGGTGTGTTCAAAAAGTACCCGGAATTACTAATAATTAAATTCGCGGGTCTGGAGTGTCTGATTGTCAAATTTTTTTTTTATTGTGTGGTATACATACCCCTAAAGTATGATGAAATTTTCAGCTATATTCACTGTTTACTTTGTCTGTGGTAGTCGCTAAGGTTCGACGTGTGTTTTTTGAGCTCGGCGATTTTTTTACAATGGAAGAATTGAAAAGTCAAAGAATTTGTATTAAATTTTGCGTAAAAAATGAAATAAAGTGTTGCAAAGTGCAAAAATTCACCAGATATGGCTCCGTGTGACTTTTTCCTATTCCCAAAGTTGAAGAGACCCATGAAAGGACGGCGGTTTTCCTCGATTGAAGAAAATCGCTGAGAGTGCTCAAGGACATATCAAAAAGTGAATATCAAGGGTGCTTCGAAAATTGGAAAAAAACGCTGGCATAAGTGTATATAATATCTGGGGGGACTACTTTGAAGGGGACCACATTAATGTAGACGAATAAATAAATATTTTTTTGAAAAAAACGAAAATTCCGGGTACTTTTTGAACAGACCTCGTATATATATATATATATATATATATATATATATATATTAATTTGGAAATATGAACAAACAACACTCTTCTTGCACTAATTTATTAAATAATAATTTTCTCAAACGTTTCGAGACTAGGTTTGAGACTCCTTACGACATCTATTTTTCAACTGGACCCTAATCCTTTCTTTCCTATCTGATTGAGTGACTTTACAATTTCAAGTGGTTTTCAAGTGGGAGAGAATACGAATACCGAAGACGTTGGTATTAAAAGAGCAGCGTGCAGTGAACGACTTGTAATGAAAAACACAAAATGCTAATTTAGATTTCCATAAGAAATTTTTTGTTTGTTTTTATATTTGAAAAGGAAAAATTTTGAATTCATTATACAACAGTAATGAATTTATTTCGATTACAAAAATGAAGTGTTTTTTAGTTGAACTTCTCTAAGTAAATGAAAGTGAATCCGCAAATTATCCGTTTCATTGAAGTGCTCTTTGGTAAACCATATTTTTTGTTTATTGGTCTGACGTTATCACAAACAAAGCGGATGGTTTTCCAACTCGTGAACAGGAAACGTAAAACTGCCCATGTAAAAAACAATGATTTTCTAAATAAACTATTTGAAATTTATCCCGCAAACACTAAGCGATTGGCCTTGCGACTTGTTATTGCGAACTGGAAATTGCAATCGCTTGTAGTCAAACGGAAGATCAGTCGGAATCATTGGTATGCCATCAAATCGCCAGCAATTTTTTATTGAATGGTGAAATCGAGTGCGTGTACATCATTATTCTTTGCGGCAAAAATTATTCGTTGACTTGACCAAGCATAATTCTGATAATTCTCACTAATGTCATTACTCGAATTTTTGATTACGGTGCGTGAAGTTCCAGCAATTTGCATTAAGGCACGATGCCATGCACCACTAATTTTCTTATATATAAACCTTGCGGAGCCCAAGACTTTCCAACGAATGCAAAATTGTCGTAATCGCTTCGTGCGAGGAAGGAAAACCCGACTTATTTTTATATATATGTAGATAATCTATTTGAAATTATTTAAAACAATTATTGATTACTTTCATTACTCGAATTTTTAATTACGGTGCGTGAAGTTCCAGCAATTTCCATTAAGGCACGATGCCATGCACGACTTATATTTATATATATGTAGATATATATATATATATACATATATTTGTGTCATAAAATATAATTTTACTGAATCACCTGTGTTGGGAAGTTCTGTGCCGTATAGGTTAAAACAGCTAGAACTTCATCAATCGATGAACTTAATATACGTGCAGCGGCTTTCAATCCCAAATCTTGAAACTGCCAGGCCTTTAGGGAAGAAAATCCTTCTGTCGACTCAGATAAATATTCCCTGTACTTACTTAAGTTCTGTGATATCTCAGGAAACAAATTTCTGTATACAAGGAATAAATATTATGTACACATGTATATATATATATATTATATATATATATATATATATTATATATAAAGCGAGAGGTTTTTTTGCAGATGGTGAAATAATATGATAAAATTGTTTCTTTGGCATCCATCCAGTAATTAAAAACAGTTTTATTGAAGGAAAATGTTTTTATTCAGAGAACATACGTTTCGGGTCTTGATTTGACCCATCTTCAGTGCTGTAATTAAATATTTCGAGTTACAATTTAAAACAATATAAAAAATACATAATTACAGACAAAAATAAATAAAAACATGTAAAAAAACATAAATCTAACAAATTTAATAAATTCGTTTTAAAACAAATATATATTGTGAAATAATATGAAAAACAACCATAAAATAAACAAATGTAAAGAAACTCACCATACAAATAAATTTGAAAAAAAAACACGAAAACACACGAAATTACAACGAAAAAATAAATATGAAACAAAAAATTGATAAAACGTCGAGTTATGATAAATTTTAAAAAATTGTAAAATTAAAATAAATAATATATTTTATTATAAAAAAGCTTATTCCAAACGAACATGTTGTCAGCTTGAAGTATGTATTACGTGTGTGTACAAGAGTAAAATGTGTGTAAAATGTGTGCGTACGTGTTTGCGGAAAATAGTGGAAACTGTATCGTCATTGGATGAGAGAACGGGATAGAAAGAATTTTAGTGGTTTCATATTACGAAGATTTTCTCAGCGATCATGCGCAGTAGGAACATAGAAAAAATATGGCATGTGGAAACAATCCATAATCAACGGTTAAACATAATATGTGGATAAAAATGAAAATATAGAAACATAATAAAACCATGATAGACAATGTAAAAATGAAAAAATATGTGATGAAGAGAAATTTATTAAGAAAAAGTATAAATATTAACTATAAGACGATATTAGTTATGGAACAAGTTATTATATAAAAAATTATAACAGAAAATATATATGTATATATTCGCAAAACAACAATTACATATATGTATACACATACACATACATATATATATCCAAACACATGCACACATACATATACACATATATGTAAACACACACATATATATATATACACATATACATACATATATGCATATATATACACACATATACATATATATACATATATACATACACATATATACACATACATATATATATACATAAAAGAAGTGTTAGGATGTACTGCGCATATTGAAAAAATTATTCGAAGCATCGCGGTAGATATTGCAAAGTGAAGCCGAATCAAATCGTTTGTTAATAGCAGGTAATATTTGTATGAAAATACTCTCAGCGAACTTTCTGGGTAAAGTGTTGGCTTCTCGATGGATAACTCTTGGATTGGTGAAATTAAAAGATTGTTTAAAGTTGGAGACATGTTCGGTGATCATGGTTTTATTTTGTTTCCTGTTTAAACTATTAAGTTCGTGTTGGTGCATTCGTTTTGAGAGAAATTGTGAAGTTTCTCCAACATAACAACTTGAACAATCATTACAATCAATGACATATACGACGTTTGACGTGCGGGAAATATTACCTGCTATTAACAAACGATTTTTGGTTCGACTCCTGGCGCTTCCAAATAATTGTTAATTTGTAGAATACAAGAAAAAATAGAAGTAAATAGGAAAAAAGAAGTTTAGAAGATGAGAAGAACATATTGAGAAACAAGAAGAAGAATGAAAGTTGAATGGAAGATTAGGATTTAAGAAGAGATAGTATATATATGATGTATGTATAAGAAATATATATGTAAGAATTGTATAGAATATGATGAAGAATAAAATGAATAATGTATGTGGCTAAAAATGCTGTAAAGCGGAGGCCAATAAAATTTTTAAAAAAAAATTAACAAACGATTTGATTCGGCTTCACTTTGTAATATCTACCGCGATGCTTCGAAGAATTTTTTCAATATGCGCAATACATCCTGACACTTCTTTTATGTATATATATATATATATGAATGGAAGATTAGGATTTAAGAAGAGATAGTATATATATGATGTCTGTATAAGAAATTATATGTAAGAATTGTATAGAATATGATGAAGAATAAAATGAATAATGTATGTGGCTAAAAATGCTGTAAAGCGGAGGCCAATAAAATTTTTAAAAAAAAATTAACAAACGATTTGATTCGGCTTCACTTTGTAATATCTACCGCGATGCTTCGAAGAATTTTTTCAATATGCGCAATACATCCTGACACTTCTTTTATGTATATAATATATATATATATATATATATGTATATGTGTGTATGTGTATATATATGCATATATGTATGTATATGTATATATATATATATATATATATATATATATATATGTGTGTGTGTGTTTACATATATGTGTATATATATGTGTGCATGTGTTTGTATATATATGTATGTGTATACATATATGTAATTGTTGTTTTGCGTATATATATATATATATATATATATATATATATATATATACTATATATTTTATGTTATAATTTTTATATAATAACTTGTTCCATAACTAATATCGTTTTATAGTTAATATTTATACTTTTTCTTAATAAATTTCTCTTCATCGGATATTTTTTCATTTTTACATTGTCTATCATGGTTTTATCATGTTTCTATATTTTCATTTTTATTCACATATTATATTTAACCGTTGATTATGGATTGTTTCTACAGGCCATATTTTTTCTATGTTCCTACTGCGCATGATCGATGAGAAAATCTTCGTAATAAGAAACCACTAAAATTCTCTCTATCCTGTTCTCTCATCCAATGACGATACAGTTTCCACTATTTTCCGCAAACAGGTACGCACACATTTTACTCTCGTACATACACGTAATACATACTCCAAGCTAACAACATGTTCTTTTGGAATAAGCTTTTTTATAATAAAATATATTATTTATTTTAATTTTACAATTTTTTTACATTTATCATAACTCGACGTTTTTTTTTCAAATTTATTTGCATGGCGAGTTTCTTTACATTTGTTTATTTTATGGTTGTTTTTCATATATACTTTTCATATATTCTTTATATTTGTTTTAAAACTAATTTATTAAATTGGTTAGATTTATGTTTTTTTACATGTTTTCATTTATTAACTTCCCGAAGGAGAAGTTTTTTCATCAAAAAATCCGATTCGCTAATTTTATGTTTTCTCGACGTTTCAAGCCATTCTGAATCGAATGAGACCAAATTTGGAAAAAGTATGTGTGTGTGCGTGTGCACCAACAGATTTTTTTGCCGTAAATCGCCGTTTTCTCAAAAACGGCTGGACCCATTTCAAAAATTTAAAAGCCATTCGATGTATCTCGATGAGGACTATTGTTTGTCAGTTTTGCGCGACGATCGGCCAAGCCGTTTCTTCGTAAATAGCAGAGAAGTGAAAAGATTTTCGTCCACGTTTAAGCCTGCAATTCTGAATCGATTTTGAAAATTCAAAAATCGTTCGAAAGATATTGGTTGGGAATCGACCTGATTAGTTTTTGGTAGAGATCGGCCGGGCCGTTTTCTTGTAATGAAGTTTTTAAAAAAAAATTCGACGATTTTTATGATTATTTTTTTGACGGTAAATACCATAGTCTTCTAGATCATACTAAAATATTACACGGCCCTACGACAACTGGTTCAGCTTTAAAAATTCGTCAAAGTTTGCAAAAATTGGTATCGTTTTTTTGGCATTTGTCAATATTAGACCTTTGATCGACGTTTTCTCAAAAACGCCTGAATCGATTTCAGAAATTTAAAAGCCATTTGATGTATCTCAATGAGGACTATCGTTTGTCAGTTTTGTGAGACGATCTGCCAAGCCGTTTCTTTGCAATTTAAAAAAAGTGTTAAACTTTTCGTCCACATTTAAGCTCATCCTACCGAACCGATTTTAAAAAATCAAAGACTGTTCGAAAGATATTAGTTGGGAATGGTACTGATTAATTTTAAGTGAAAATCTATCGAGCCGTTTTCTTGTAATTAACTGTTGAAAAAAAAATTTAAGCCGATTTTCATGAAACTTTTTTTGCCGATATACATCATGGTCTTATAGAACTTACTGTAATATTACGGCCTTACGACAAGTAGTTAAAATTTAAAAATTCGTCAAACTTTGCTAAAATTATTATCGTTTTTTTTTAAGTAGGATTGATGAAGTATATTATTTACAAGGCTAAATACCAAACCAACTAGTTTTTGTCTGTCATTATGTACAATCAAGACCCGAAACGTATGTTCTCTGAATAAAAACATTTTCCTTCAATAAAACTGTTTTTAATTACTGGATGGATGCCCAAGAAACAATTTTATCATATATATACATATATATATATATATATATATATATATATATATACATTTATACTAGCATACCCAGCCTCCCGTTGCGACGGCCCTTATTAAAATCCACCTGATTGAAATTTGAATCCGTTTGATAACCAAATTTCAAACCTTTTGTTAAAAAAAATCATATCAATCCAAAAATAAATAAAATCCAGATTGAAATTTGAATATGATGGATCAATATTATTGATTAAAGTGTTTTTTTTTAATTTAAATAATAAATATAATTAAATAATTAAAGATTTGAATAAATGAGTAAATTACAAAATTTATGAAGAATAACCCTATCCTATTTATCTTGCTGAAATTTTAACATGTTCTATGATGCTGTATTTTTTTAAATTTGTGATTACTTACGAACCACTTATAATATAAATTTCCGACTATAAATTCATATTCATACTATCCCTGAAACTAACATGGATAACATTCTGAGGAATCCGAGTCCAAATCTATTAAATGTTTGATTTTTGGCACTTCGAAATTTAATATAACATGATATAATAATTAGTTTTCAATCATGATTTATAATAATTTAGTGATGTCCACCTGAATGAACAACATAAGCAAATTAAATCTAAATCATAAATCAATTTATTCATAAATTTCCCAGAATATTAACAAACG